GCAAATCTAAGCAGTGTATGGCCAGCTTTAGAGAAAAGCATTTCTAAATGTCTCAAGTACAAGCAAATGAAATTTAAAAGGGCATTCCTCCTATGGGCATTTAAAAGGTGAACTCCAGGCAAGTAGCTGAATCTAACTATATGGGAACTATATTAGATCTTGCCTCCCTGTGACCTCTCTGCAGACTACTCTGAAATATAGTGACACAGCGTGGTCTAGCACCTACACCAACCTCTAATTGGATATACACTCTGCACTCCCTTCCTTTAAGGAAGCTTCCAGTGTTGGATGGACATCACTGCACAAAGCAATAAATGGTTGAGTGCTTCACCTTTCACTGCTAGTTTGAGTGCTGGGGGATTTAAAGAGGCCGATGCAAAGAGAGACGTATGCACATTTTGCCAAACTGATATAAAAATCTGATCTTTCATAAATCCATAACTTGGATTATTTATTTTTAAAATTTACATCCTCCTGGAGTTCATCTTAATGCCATTGTAATTTTTGTAAAAGAGGATCCCTCTTCACCTACAGTGGAGGTCAGCCTACGTTCAGGCAGCGCTAGCAATTATTTTGGTCCTTGATTTGATGTGAACTGGTGATATCACATATGATGTTACCGATTTCAGAGAGGATCCTTTACTTTCACATAGATACTGTTTCACCATTTAAAATATGTCTTCCCCCATTATGTTGGTGCTGAGAGAAGATCTTTTAAGTGCAAATATATTTCTATAAATACATATAAATATACAATACATGCACATTTCCCCATGTGTGTTTTCCCTTTATAAAATGCTGCAAGTACAGAAAAATACCAGTTGGTCTGCCTGAAATTTTGTGTGCTCCTAAAATTCCTGTTAGAGCTGACTAGACAGTAGCTTTGCTGAATTTCCTACCAGCCTGGTGGACTATAATACTCCGCCGTCCCCCTTCACATGCATAAATTAACTTATTTCCAGCAACACAATGCCGCTGGCCTGATTCCCAAGTGCTTGCACACAGACGCTGTGTGTAGCGAAAGGGCCCTTGGGAGATGTAGTTCTGGGAGATGTGCCTTCGTTGGTAGGAACTAACCTCCCAGAAGCTGGCCTGACCAAAAATTTAGCCTGGTGATGTTAGAGGGAGAAATAATAGCCTGGTGATGTTAGAGGGAGAAATAAAAGCTCTTTCTCGCTACAAGAACAAAGTAAAAGAGGTAAAAGACAATAATGCTGGAATAAAATTGAGAGGGGAGAGGGAGGTTTGGGAATACATTTGGGTCATACCTGGAAATACAATTTAATCATTTTGCTTTTGTAAGAATAAGTGTGGGGTTTTTTTTTTGAGTACATGCTGTTCCTGGCTTTGAGATGCGTATTTGTTCACAACAGACCACTGAGGGCCTTGCTGTGTTATTCTTGATCGCACAAATTGTTTTTTAAATTGCCACTGAAGGCCGAGCTGCACTTTTAAGCCCAACAAAATATTCAGTTGAAATCCGCTAAATTCGCTCCACGTGCATTGAAAAGTCTTAGTTCATTTTCTTTTGAAAGCATTCACATGCCAAGTAACAAGGCCTGACTCATGGCTGCATGCTGCAGTGGAGGAACCTTGCTCCTTGTATGGAAGCAGTGGTCTCTTTGTAGAGATCCAACTCTATGGCCCCCTGCTGAATTGGAGCTAGAGTTTCCGATTTGCTGAAAATGGTCCAAAAGCCTTCTTTTTTTCTGCCATAAAAATGGGTCAGTTTAGATAAAGATTTGGCTGGATGGAGTTCTTTTAGTTCCTAACTTGAGTATTATTATTATTATTTATGCATGTTTCTTGCAAGACTTGCTGACTTCTACCGAGGTCCGGCTGAGTTGGCCATAGTTTACAGTTACAGTCTAGCACTGAATTAAAGCAAACCACTTGATGCTTTGGCTGTGCATGGTATTCTGTTTTTGCAGCATCCTGTGTAACTGTTTCTCGGCTTCACTTGCATCCCATAAGATATACATTTGTTTAACATGGAATATCTTAGGCTGAGGTCAAACCTGTTCGAATTCTGCATTATCTGTTTTCCTTATGCTACACAGAATCCTCTGTGGACATCCATGGACCACACAGACAATTATTGGGTTTCATGTTTTTTTAAATGCAGCATCTTTCTCCGTCCTTAAAGGAGAACTATGGGGTCAGTGTTTTTCCCCATAGTTCTCCTTGGGGTAACGGGAGGACACAAACTAGCGTCCTCCCGTTGCCCTAAGCTCAGTATACCGCGGGCTACAGCTCGCGGTATACTGAGACGCCGCACCTGGAGCGAATCCCGACTTAGATGATGGGGTCCGCCCAGCTGCGTGAGTGACAGCTGGCTCTGCCTATCTAGAGGCAGAGCCAGCTGTACCCTCCCCCGTCCATTCTGCCAGTCAGCGCTGGCAGATCGGAGAGGGGAATCCAGCCCCTCCCCCTGTCACGGCAGAGAGCCGTGACAGGATCGAGAGGTGAGGGAACCCGGTATGTGTTCTCTCACCTCCCGATCTACTGAGCCGACCTGTGACAGTCTCATTGTCACAGGTCGGCTTAGAACTATGAGGTGAGTGGAAATCACTCATGTCATAGTTCTCCTTTAATCGCGTGATGTGTCCAATAATATTGTTCTGTCTCTAGGAAGGACTGCTGCATTCCAATAGATTAGCAGGAAAAATTTGCTGGAAACCCTAGTCAAAGTGACACTAAACTCAGGAGTTAAACCTTACATATATTCATATATCTAAGTACTATTAACAAAAATGTATCTTATTTGTGTATCACTTGGCTGAGATCCTCAAATCATCTCTGAATTGGTGCTGACACATTGTTCTTCCTTCTGGAGGGGGGATACTTTTGTTCCCCACGGTCCCTGTGTGTGTTGTAAAGTAGCCACCACTCCAAGCTCACTTCTGTGATGGACTACAATCTCTAGGCCTTAATTGGCCTGATGACTTAACTCCTACGCATGTGCACGGGAGTTACTTCATCTTGGCATGCCGATCCTGTACATGTGCAGCTCAATGCACAGAGAAAAAATATGTTTCCGACAGGCAGCTAAAAGCTCTTTTGCTTCAATTTAAATTTAATAATTCTCTAATAAACCCCATCGTTGGATTACAAATTAGGGGTCCTTTTTATATGCCTGGAGTTCAGACCTAAAGAAACCCTGTAATGAAAGAAAGAGAACCTTCACGATGGCCAAGATGGAGAGGTCTCTAATGGCCATCTTTTGTGTAGGTTGAGTTTTTAGGTCACCCTTTACATGTGTGATGGATAAATTACCTTGTGATGCCTAAGATCTTTCACTGGGTTCCTTCACTGTGGAGCTTTGCCTCATCGCGTTTCGAATACCATTTTTCTTCATTGCCTGTCTTTTGTATTGGAAAATGCTGATTGCAGATTGTCCGTAACCATCTTACAGATGGGGCCTAATGAGCATTAGGCACAGCTGCCACCGAAATGGCTAACACAGATGTGCCTAATGCTTGGCCAAGTGCTCATCGTTTTGGTCACCAGCCAAATCAAGAGTGGCTTTCTCAACATCTGTGTGGGATTCACCACAAGGCCTGACTCCACTTATCACCTGACCTTGTGGTTTCTAATCGCTTCCAATGGTTGTTTGTTTTCAATTACTATATGTGTACTAAAAAAACCAAAAAGCAGCTCAGAGGTTTGTGAGAAGTGCAGCTACGGGCCCGAAACATTATTTTTTTTTTTTTAGAAAATATTTATTTTCTAAATTTTTATTTGTATCTTAGGCCGAGGCCTTTGCTCAGATTCCAGACTACTCTGAGCAGTTTTCAAAGTGAAAGAGGGACAGACTGAGCTTCCTTTCATTAACCTGCAATGATTCAGGTGGCTGTAGAGCCGACAGATTGCCTATATGTGAACAGCTACAAGTGTGCTCCGTCTTAAAACTGAGCACTGTATTAATTGTTTACAAAACAGATTTTATTTTCAGTTTAAAAATGTAAAGTTAAATTGATGCCACACCATTTTAGCATATTATTATTTTATTTTTATTTTTTGTCCCCTTCCATGTGTCCATATCTTGCCCAGCCATTATTTTAATTTGCCAAGCGCACCATTATATCAGCTGTGTTTTATATTGCCTGTTGCCACTTCGGTCCTTCCTTTCCTTGTAGAAGACAGTCCATTGGACGGTTCTGCACTGAAACACCTCCTCGAGTTAGGAATAGCACGCATCATGTGAGGTGAAAAATCTAGAAATCACAAGTCGGTCTATATTGTCGTAATGTTCTTGGCGCTCTTTTTTGAATGTTTTCTTTATATATTCTGATCAAGAGGCCACTAGGGGGCTACCGACACAAACATTATGGTGTCGCAGGCACTATGGTGGACTCTTTATTAAAGGTGGAATAAAATGTAGAGAATGTGCTTGAATAAAACTCTACCTGCTCCACTGACTAGAAAATATATTAGGACCACACTGTCTAATTGAAAATTGTTTGAGATATCACTCAAACATCGCTCAAGCACAGGATTTCTGGCAGAATCAACAGGTATTTTATATCTTACAACCATGTCTATGGCCCAAAACAAAGTTTTTAATCATGGGATAATTCCTTTAAATTACAATTTTACTGGTTTAATAAGGTTTTGGGGAAATGTGATGCATTACTGGTAAATGTTACTAAAAAAATTATACCCCTCAAGTTGCACTTTAAGATCGGCTATCCCTGCACTATATTGTTAGTTTTTCACTGAGTGTCTACTTTAGTTCCCAAGAACACTCATAAATTCTCTGAGGACCTCTTCATCATTGACTGTTCTAGTTCAATATGTGTTTCTAGCATGGTCTGAAAACCACTCTGGAGCAATTTATTTTTTTTTTTTTCCTGGTTCAGAAATGTGTGTCTTTCAATTATCGTGAACACTTTGACTTTTTACCCACAAGTCTCCGAGTATAGGTGGTGGGTTCCTTCCCATGTTATTTGCCCATTTTAGCAGACCCTAACTTGTTTTTGTTTTCCGTCTTTTTCTAGTGAAGAAGAGGAGGAACTGGCATAGGCATGACTATACAGAGTCTGATGATGGGACAAAGCCAGTTCAAGCTGGAACAAGGACCTTTGTACAGCAGCTGCGAGCGCGGTCCTTTCCAAGGTACGTGTCTTTCTCATTTTGGGGGTTTATGGGCTGAAGTATCTTAAGGAAGAACTTAGTTATAACCCATAGTTCCACCGTATTGGCACCAAAAACCTGTGAGAATGTGATTTAAGAACAGAAAAAGGAAATAATGCCACCAGCACACCATTTTTGTAAATCAATGATCCATTTTAATGGCACATTGCCATCCAATACAAGCGCTTTCGGGGCCGCAAAGGGGTCCCCTTCATCAGGCTCATTCTGATGAAGGGGACCCCTTTTCTGCCCCGAAAGCGCTTGTAAAAATGGTGATCTGTTGACATTATTTCCTTTTTCTGTGATATACATGGTGCCCTCCGTGGTCACTACAAGCACCCACCCAGTTTTGTTTTTTTTGCGGTAAGTAGTGCAGCAAGATATACTGTTTTATAGAAGTGTGATTTAAGAACCACTCGAGTTCCTTTTGTGAGAGCTTTGGTTCATTTGTTTTGTTTTTTTAATCATTATACAACGTTTGGAAGCCCAGAAGTTCCGAGTCTAGCTAGTAACTAACTGTTAGCATACCATGTTTTTTCTTTCTAGCGCTGATGAGATTATATTGCGGATGAATGGAAGCCAACTGACGCAGAGGTACCTGGAAAAACATGGATTCAACCTTCCAATAATGGTGCCGCAGTTAGATGATCTGGATCTCAGACTGCCACCTCCAACCTTTTCTGTAATGGACGTGGAGCGTTATGTTGGTAAGAGGACACCAGTTATTTTATTAAGGCATGGTATATTTTCTGTTGCTTGTATTCAGTCTTGTTCTTCCACCCATGATCCATACCTCATGGCCTTGTGAGGCTAGACATGTTCAACTCCAGGTTGAGCAGAAAGCTTAACCCCGGTCTCGCCCTCCACCCTGGGTTTTTTTTTTCTGGCTGTCTTCTCGGTGGTTGGCTGTCCATGGTCCTGTAGTGAGGAGAGCAAAAGGGGCTTTTTTTTTAAAATTCCACCTAATGGGCAATTTTATTAATTTCTTTACAAAACCTGGAGTTAGGCTTTAATCATTTCAAAGGTCACTGTGCTCAAGTGCAGGCATTTTGTGGTGACTGCAAGTTAACTGTGTTGGTTGATACCTGTAGAGTATCCATGGATCATGAACATGTGGTGACTTCTTTTGTCCAAGTCCCCTTTTTTTTTTTTTTTAAATTCATCCTCCCTCGTGCGTAACCATTTAATCCCTGTACCACTCACTAAAGTTCTGACATGTGATCATTGAACAAGAATGTGTGGGGCTCAGCGCTGGAAGTATGGCCTTTATTGTTGACTTGGGCAGAAGTCAAGGCCCATGGTCCATCTGGGTCCACTAGTTTAGGGAACAGATCTAGTTACTGCAACATTGTTTAGCTGCTTCCAGGTTTGTTACCTCTCTTCAGTCCAGTATGTGGAAGGATAGATTCCATGGAGTAGGACCAAATGAACCAAAAGCTTATCCTGCGAGATCAGGCATACAAAATCTTCAGCACATTGCAAAGATGGATGGGAACCATGAACGAGACATGATTAGAATGTATATTGTGCAGAGGCCTGTCCCCGTGGGCCTGTTTTAATGGCGCAGAGGTATCTCTTTAGGATTAATCTGCAGTATGTTCTTTGCCCATTCAGTGTTTTTGCCATGTTCCAGGAAGCCTGGAATTTTGTAATCTTCTTTTGGCTATTTTCCCATATTAATTTGGCTCAATTATTACGTCTGGAATGGTATCGTGGCTCGTACTTGTTTATCTGGACTTTATCGACACAATTATTTGCAGCTTCGGCACTGGCACGGCTGCCATAAAAACAGCAGATGGCTCAATGCCCATGGGTGAAGTGACACGCATTTTAATGTGTTCAGTCTGGGATGTGTGCAGATAGGTAAAAGCTGCATGGCAAGAGTGTGTAGGGGGCTTGGTGCCCCTGGAGAGCACAGAGATTATGTTGGTGCCGCTGAAAAGATGCTTTGCTCTTTTGCTATCAAATAGCTTCATTTTATTTGGTAATCCCGTGTGTGTCCTCATTTTTATTTGGTAATCCCATGTTTTCATCGCCCTTACACCTGCTCTGTTAACTACCTTTTTGTTGTCTGTTTGAATGGGAAACTTTTTTTTGTTGCATCTATATCTTTCTATCTAGCGTTCTCTCCACTCTTACTAGTGCCATTTCTTTCTCTCTCACTCTATATCTTTCTCTGTCTCTGCACTTTTCCTGGGTCTTCCTGGTTGTTGAAAACATTTTGGAAGAAAAGGAAAATTACTTGGCTGTACTATTTCAATTTCTTTTTGGAACGCTACTAATTCTTACTACATTGTCACAAATGTCCACTAGAGGGAACAATTCAAATGTTTGTGTTTTGAAATATTATATCAAATTATGGAACGGCATGTATAAAATGTGAAAGTTACATCAAACACCGTTTTCAGACAAGGGGTTATTATTCACCATTTAGTTTTAGTCCTAGTTGTTTTTCACTTGAAATTTGAACGCACATTGTCCCCCTTCCCCTTCTCTTTTTTTCATAGAGCAAAATGCCCACCAACTGATTATACCCTGACAGCAGGGTTTAGGTATTTTACAGGGATCACACTATCTTCTAACACAAATATTAGGAATATTTATTGGGGATTTTTTTTTAAATTTTAGTTGGAATAACCCTCCCCACTATTCCAATAGTAGAAATGTTTGTTTTTGTGTGGTGTTGTTTTTTTTTGTTAGAGCACAATGCTCACCAACAGATTGTACCCTAAAAGCAGGGTTTATGTATTAGTTCATAAGGATTACACTAGAGCTGCAACAGTTAATCGATTTATTCGATTAAAATCGACGATTGAAAACGTTGCCAACGTTTTCGATCGTCGATTCGTCGGCTATCGATTGATTTCCCTGTTCGGGGCTCCAAACGCGGCCTGAAGCACACGTCACACGCTGTTTCCGTCCCGCTGCGCCCGCCGGACATAACCCACCCCACTGCACGCTGCTCCCGCCGTGCCCACAGGACGCATAAGCCACGCCCCCCGCACGCTGAAGCCGCGCACGTGCTCTCCTCCATGAGCTCCCTCACTCGGCGCTGGTACTGCAGGCTCCCTCACTCGGCGCTGGTACGGCAGGCTCCCTCACTCTGCGCTGGTACGGCAGTAGAGCTGCAGCTAATGTGGATGTGGGCGGGGAGGAGGTTCGGCGTGTGGATGCAGCCAGGCGGGTCTGGCAGGTGGGGGAGGAGGTGTGGCGCGCAGCGTATGTGGAGCCGTGAACAGGGCCAACCAATCAAAACCTTTTTTTTCTTTTTTTTTTTTAAATCCGATTAGTCGATTAATCGAACTTAATAATCGGCTAACTAATCGATTATGAAAATAATCGTTAGCTGCAGCCCTAGATTACACTATTTTTTACCACCAATATTGGGGATATTTTATGAGTCGGAATAACCCCCTCACTAGACCACTAGTAGTTTTAAATATTTATGTATTTCTTATGTAGGATAGGTGTAGAAGGGTTTGTTGTCAAATGAGGGTCAAGTTAGCAAAATAGATATAAGGGGAAATAGATGATTGGTAAATCAAGTACAATATGTAGACATGTAATTGTGATACAAGATTACATGCATATAGAAGGTCTTACTAGTATGATGGTTCCAGATTTTGGTGACCTTGTTTTGTGATATTGCCTTATTTGTGAATTATATTGTTTTAAGTGTTTAATGGATATTTGTATTTAAAATTCAATAAATATATATTAACTTCAAAACCCTTTTCAGTTAAATGGCATAGAATCTTCACCCACTGAAAATGCAGAATAACGTTCCTAATTAACGAGTTGTAAATGAGTTTTACTGTCTAGCTTATTGTACTGTGAAATAATTTATTCTCAAAGATCACAACCAAGATCCTGAAGGTGGGGATTCAGCCATGACAGGCTGCCTTGTTTCATTTTTGGCAGGCTGCTTTAAATAAGTGCATATCCTGTCTTCCTCTGCAGGTGGGGACAAGATTATTGACGTCATCGATGTGGCCAGACAAGCAGACAGCAAGATAAGGCTGAAGAACTTTGTGAAGTATTTTATGAACGCTGACCGACCCAAAGTATTAAATGTCATCAGCCTGGAGTTCTCCGACACCAAGTAAGTTAGTAGCATTGCTGGCTCCCAGATGTGAGCGGAATAGAAGCTGCTTTTGCTGGCCAGTCTCTTGGTGGCTGGTGTAATGTGAAGTCCATGTTTGCCATGTTTCTGTTGCCCAAGTTCCCCCATGCAAAACTTGCACTGACACCCCCTCCTCCCAGCCCAATCAGATGAGGCAGGGGCATTCCCTGCCCCTTTGTCATGTGCAGCTGCGGGGCGGAGAATATGCCGGGCCGCAACTGATTCCTGTGTGTTCACCAAGGCAAGGAGTCGGGGGAATTTCCTAAATGTGGTCTCGACAATAAAACCAGACCGAGGTTCTTATTTACCCGCATCTCCATAATGTGAATATTGACACTGTTAAAACTGGTTTTCTTCATCATTTTTTCAGGAATCATTGTGTGTGTTTTATCATGGCGTCTTTCTCCTGCAGATACATATAAACCCTCGCCTTTTGGCTATGATCAAGTGTAGTATCTGTTCTTAAGGTGCCCATACACTGCTCGATTCTTGTACGAGAATCGCGGGGAAACCCGCGATCGTACGAGAATCGAGCAGTGTGAACGAAGACTTTCTACTGTACTACTGTACTTCTACTGTACGGTCTTTTGTCTAAGGAGCACGCTAGAAAACCAGCCGAAAATCGTATGATTTTCGGCTGGTTTGTACGGTGCTCGGGAGACAAATGCCGAACGGGCCGTTGTGCGCACACTGCCCGTTCAGCATTGCGATGATCGAGGGTACGATCTGCCTGTCCAAGATGGGCAGATCGTATGTTTTTTAAATCACTTTACAACCATCGCAAGACTAAGGTCTTGCGATGGTTGTACAGTGTATGGCCACCTTTATCAGTTGCCGGAGGAAGAACGACTCTGTCCTTTTCAGGTGAAAGGATGGTGGCTTAGTATTTGCCGGTGTAATTGGTGGGTGCCGGATGGGGTACAGTCCCTCCTGGGTAGATTCTGGTCTGGTGATGCTGGACTTGTCCCCGGTGGTAGGGACGGATCCCGGATGGCACTACCTTCTGATGGGAATGGAGAAAAGCTTGGTCTGGCTGGAGGTTTGGGGGGCGGCAGAGCCCGTGGTGCTGTGCCCCCTGGGGGTGGCATCCCAGGGGTGCTCAGAAAATCACTAGGGTGTGGGACCCCACATGTGATTCACTGATGCACATGGACATGGCACTATTGCATTGCTTTGCACATCGCCTCTTGGACAGGCCTTATGGCTAGTCCGGGGCAATATTTTTGCACTCCGGCCCCTAGGGCCTGTCAGCGGGGTACACTGGCACTCTTTATTTATTGCACCTCATGCACGATTGGCACTTTTATTTTCTACATTTTCACCCACAGATTGCTTAGGGTGCAGGTTCCTTCGGGGCCTTTTCGCGATGCTGGAGAGGAGATTCTGTGCCCTTTTATATATGGTTCTCTGTCTCCTCCCACCCAGGGGGTCTCTTCAGGAGAACCCCCTACCTAGTACTGTGGGGGACCTGTTCCGGCAGGTCCCTAAAGGATCGTGGTCCGCTGGCCTTCGGGTTGGTGGACCATACAGTCTCAACCCCTGCCAGGAGCCTTGCGCCCCGGGGGGTCGGGAATAGTGGTCCCTTCTTTATTGAAGGACCAAGCACCCTTGTGCACGTTTTTGGGTGTTGTGATTTCACGATTCACTTTTTTTGTTCACAGGGTATTTGTTTTCGAGCACCCTCCACAGGCTTAAAAAAGTGGGTACATATAAACCCTTTGGTTGCTGAATACAATTGTGTCTCTCAATGGATGATAGAGAAAACTTGTACTACCCATTGTAGAATCTTTTTCAGAGTACATTGAGGGACACAACTATATTCTGGCAATTAAAGCGATGATCTGCTTGGATTCAGAGGTGTTGAATCTTCAGCACACACATGCCGGGTTTACTATAGTTTAGTGGTATTTCAGAAAGAGTAACACTGCTGCCATGGCAGAGGACGCTCAGGACTTAAACACTCTTGCTTTTACTTGCTCATCATTTGTTTTCTGTTCTGTTTTTTAGGATGGCAGAGCTAGTAAAAGTGCCGGACATCAGTAAAAAGCTGTCTTGGGTTGAGAACTACTGGCCTGATGACTCCCTCTTCACAAAGCCGTTCGTTCAAAAGTATTGTCTGATGGGGGTAGAGGGCAGCTACACCGACTTCCACATAGACTTCGGAGGCACTTCTGTCTGGTATCATGTTTTGTGGGTAAGCATCTGAATAACAAAAAAAAAACTGCAAAAACCTCCATTTAATATATTTGTTTAGAGCTGGGTTATGGGGCACACTAACCTACGTTATTAGTGAGCCATAACTCTTGGTGGTCTGCGGTTTGATACCAAACATTGTTACACCTTTATTAGGCCTAGATTTTGGGTGCACCCAGTGAATGCATAAAAAATTAAGGCCATCCCTTCAGTCTTGCCCAATTGTATAGGCTACTCTCCTGTACTGAAATTGCTTAATCTGATTGTTTGGAACACTGAACACTATCGCTTTTCACAGTGTGTGTTAGAAACTGATGCCTGACTCATGTCTTAGCTGCAGGACATCCAGCATCATCTAGCCTTTTCCTCCCCAGCCTGGCTGTTTGTGGCCGACCCCCTTTCATTCATTGGATTTCAGTTCTTTAATTTAGGGAGGCTCATCATCACATATGGGTGTTACCTAGGGCGGTTTGCATGCAAATGAAGCCTGCCCAGGAATGCCTGCTCCCATAAACTGACATCCACCCATCAAGGCATGTAGATATTTGCATAACTCCTCCAAAGAGCCATCCCACTGCTCGTATCAGGACCGAGGGCTCTTGAGGGGAGTACTGAGATATGGTGCTGTGATGTTTTCAGGAAGCTATGTACAGCACCCTGCTGGCCATCCCGCCAGCTATGAAGGCACTATAGAAAGTAAAAGAATATCTCTTCTGTGAGCTTTTCCTTTTAAGACAGTTGTCACGAGATCAGGTGTCCCCATTGGAAGATTTACCCTCATCTCTTGTTCTAGTGACCACTCTGAAATGCTGGATTTACCCCCCTTGCGTATTACTCTGAATGGAGTGCTGAGGTTGCCTACCGCTACACTAGCATGTTGGTTACTGATGTATAATAGCTTGTGGATACAAGTTGATGTATTCAGTTAACAGAAATGAGATTGGTCCTCCTTAAAGGGCTAGTCCAACTAAAATAGTTATGCCAGAATTCCTCGTTCTGCTGCTGTCCTCAGAATATTTTGGTGTCCCCGTCCTTCATAATTGGCACAACAGATGTGCAGCCCAGGAATTTGGCACCGAGATCTCACCAGTAGTGTTTTATATAGCTAAATATTAGGGAAAATAAAACGTACTGACTAGTTAATCATTTGACTTTCAGGGGGAGAAGATTTTCTACTTGATAAAGCCCACCGATGAGAACTTGGCGAAGTATGAAGCATGGAGCTCGTCTGTTACCCAAAGCGAGGAGTTTTTTGGGGATAAGGTGGACAAATGTTACAAATGTGTGGTGAAGCAGGGTCACACACTCTTTGTCCCAACAGGTAAATATTCAGGGTGATTTCTAAAAATTTTAGCAAACAAAATCTGAAACAAATTTTCCAGGGCAACCAATCTGCTTCTCTCTTTTTCAAATCTTAACTGAACAAACTTAAGAGAGAAGCTGATTGGTTGCCATGGAAAATTGCTCCACATTTTGTCTGCTCCAGTTTTGAATTCCCTTCAGTGTGTTTTTATTTTGTTAAAATGGTCTCCTCCCTCTTGGTTATATGCACTGTATCCTTTTTAAGTTTCCTGTATTACATTTTACCCAATGATTGCCCTGTATGAGGACATTTTGTGGCAATTTTGGAACCTTTCTGTCAGCTTTTGATTTTTGACCCCTCCCCCCCATAAAAAAAAGCAGCTACTGGGGTGACAGAAGATTTGGTTATCCAGTGTTTTTTCATAGGCGTTATGGTGGTCTCAGTGAATTATCTATCTACCTAGGACTTTTAAATTGACGTTTAGAATTTTTGTGTGTTGGAAGCATTATAAATGAGCTATGATGGCTAGCATGTAATTTGGAAACCTTTTTGCTCTTTCTGCTATGTTCAGTTTAATTGATTTCTTAGTTGAAGATCCTGCAGCTCTGTAGAGGACATTTTTCTGATGGGTGGCTTCTTATTGCAGGTTGGATTCACGCTGTATTCACGTCTCAGGATTGCATGGCCTTTGGTGGGAACTTTTTGCACAATCTAAACATTGGCATGCAGCTCAGGTAAGACTTCTTCTACAGTTTTTAAACTTTAGACCAACCGTGTTCAAGAAAATCAACAATTTGTGAAGACCTAATTACTTCCTCCCTCGACTGCATGTTTTTCAACTTAGAATAGACAAATGATTGCAGGTTAGTGATTAAACGCTTCAATGCCCACAATTTGTATACTAATGCCCCTAATGCACAATGCCTGGTGATGGAGACAAGTTTTGAAACGTCATACCTTTCTGAGCCACCATCAAGCACTGTGCACCTGTTGGTTTCCCATCCCTTCATTCAGTGACCGCTCTGGTCTCCTGACTATTGGGAACCAATCTGAGTGGTTCCCGATCATGCAATTACTATGTCAGCTATGATCTAATGATTCAATGCAGGCTATAAGCTTCATCGATTAAAATAAGCCCTTAGCCTGACTTTTCTGGAATCTTGGAAAGTTGCACTGTTCATCTGTTTAATACTGCAGTTGCTGAATACAAATACATTATTCAAAAAAAATAAATTACATGTTTTAATGTTTCTGCATATGTGTCAGCCTATATTAAAAACAAGTTTTTGTTTTTATTAAAAAAAACTTTTTTCATGCTCTGATATCACTTACTCTATCTCTGAGCCATGATGTGTCTTGGTCTTGGAAGCTCAACGATTTGCTCCTCCAAGAGGGCCTTCTTCTTGATGACATTAAAGCACGATTGGACTTGATCTTTGGAGAAAACGAGAGTCCTGATGTCTCTCCACTGACGATCTGGTAAACACATAAATGTGTCCTTCGTGGCTTCCTCATTCAGAAGGGCTCGGAACGGAAAAAGGTTCTCAATGCTAAAAGAGACAGATTCGGGTGCTGGGAACCTAACACAAGAAATCCCCTTTTTAAATAAACTCTCTTCTTTACGGACTTAGTTGTCGCATCTCTTCCAGGGTCGGACTACTGCTACAGACTGAGACGCTAATTTTATGAATATGGCAACAAACCAGGGAAACTGCTAGCTCGATCGCTTAAGGGAGGCTACACCCAAATCTTATATCTCTCACATTGTCACAGACGAGTGCAGTAAGTGTGTGCAATCGTCTGACATTGCCTTCGGGAATACTACAATGCCCTCTATAATCCAGAGGGGAACCCCACTTTTCCAGGGTCTTCTGCCAATACTGAGAATGTTCTAGATTACTTGCGAGCTTCTGATATTAATCAAATCCCTGCTGAGATTGCTACCCAGCTGGATGCTCCACTGCAGGAATCGGAGTTCCTTACAGCGGTTAAAGGCCTGAAACCGGGCGAGGCCCCGGGACCTGATGGCTATACAGCCATGTACTAGAAAACCATTGCTTCTATCCTAGCTCCCAAGTTCATGCATGCTTTCAACTCCATCAGAGATAGTCTGACTTTTCTGGCAGACACTTTGCGAGCCATTATTACAGTGATCCCCAAGGAAGGGAAAGATTTATCTTCCTGTGCAAACTATCACCCTATTTCCCTATTGAATCTGGATCCTAAAATACTTTCAAGTTCTCCCCATTCTAAAATCTCTGATTTTAGGACAACCGTACACATGTCTTTAATGCCATCCACCTAGCCAAACAGTAATATTCCATTGGGTGTTTTGACTATTGACGCAGAGAAGGCATTTGACCGGGTGGATTGGCCTTTTCTAAAAGCTACTTTGAGCTACGTGGGACTCGGACTGTTCATGCGACACTGGTTAGATGCCCTATACTCAACACCATCTGCGACAGCAAGAGTGAATGAGGCTTTCTCCCCTTCTTTCTCTTTTATCCAATGGAACCTGTCAAGGATGTCCTCTCTCTCTCCTTGTTGATTTTCATCTTGACTTTGGAACCTCTCCTATGCCATATTCATAAGAATTGTGACATTCAAGAGCATTTTTACACTTCTTGTGGTCACCATCTCGCCCTTGTTTGTCATACAAATTTTTGATCCTCCCCAAGGACTGTGGGGGTATAGCCCTTCCAGACCCCTGTCTATACTATAAAGCAGCCCACCTGGCAAGGATTGTTTCCTGGTGTAGGGATGAGGCGTCTAAACCATGTGTACCGTGGAGCAGCTCTTTTCATCGGTTCCTTTGGTATATCTCCCCTGGTTATCATCTCAATACCTCCAGGGTTAGATGACTAATCCTCTTATCGGTCCTTCTTTGAGGTTTTTCAGTCAACGCCACAATTGACAGGCCCGTACCGTGCGGCTTCCAGGATGCCACCTGTTCTAGTTCATCCTAATTTCCTTCCTGGTGAGGATGATGGACCTTTCAGGAGACTGAGAAGTGGGAAAGTGCAGATCGGATGCTTTTTTGGTTGCTGATGGCATTTTGCTCTCGAAGACATCAATACGATGCTTGATCCTCCCCTAGATCCATGGCGATCACTGCATAATTTTTGGACCTTCATTTGTCTTTGTCCCTGGGACAACGAGCAGACATCCTATACTTCTCTCACAAAGCCTTCATTGAATGTAAGATGCAGGAAGCCAACTATAAATTATTGACTCTTTGGTACAGAGTCCCTTCCGTTCTCTAAGCTTTGGCCTCATATCTCCACCCTATGTTGGCAATGTAATGAAATGGAGGGGACCCTGGTGCATATTTTTTGGTCCTGCCCTCGGACTGAGGTACAGGCCTTGTGTCTGAAACTGACTGGAGTTGACCTCAAGAATGATCCGGCTGATATCCTTCACTTGTTGTCCCAATCGTGAAACGGGTATAAAAGATAATTGCTGTTGCATCTTCTGAATGCTGCTAAAATGTGCATTCCTACACTTTTGGAAAGAGCCAGCTGCTCCATCAATTTCCCTTTTGGATTTCGAACGTTCGGGAGGTTGGGAAAGTTGAGTGTTTGACAGCTTCTTTGAAGCATGAGGAAGCCAAGTTCACTAAAACTTGGTTCTATTGGCACAAATTCATCTTCTCCTCCTGAGTTTCCATCGACTCCACAATTGCGTGATTCTACTCCGATAGCCGCCTGGTTTTCTTGATTCTTCTGTTGTGCTTCTGTTGTGCTTTTTCATCTTGTTTTCTTCCCATAGATGCTTTTGTTTCTGCTTCTGCCTCCTTGTGATTTTCTGGAACCTTTTTGTTTCTACCTCAGCAATTTTATAAAACTAAAAAAAACCCCACATGTTTAGCAGAAGTCAGTGAATTTCTTCTATATATTTCATTAATGCTCATACGGTCTGTACCACTCATTGTCATGTAATTTTGAAGGTTGTTTTTTTGGTTACTGTTCAGCCTTGTTGGTAAATTATCTTCACTGTTTTGTGCTTCTGCTACTTGTGCTCAAAATAGTTTTAAAAAAAACCAAACTGTTATTAATAAAAGCCTTTATATAATATTTATTTATTTAAGTATTAAAAGTCTTGGAGTCAAGTTAACCAACACATTCTCATGCTGCTAAAGTTTTAAACAAACGCGTTAATGGGGGTAAACCATTGCTTCTTCGGGGTCTTCTATTTCATGTACATGCTTTTAGTAAAGACTGATCTTCTATCCGCCAGGTGTTATGAGATGGAAAAAAGACTGAAGACCCCAGATCTCTTCAAGTTCCCTTTTTTCGAGGCGATATGTTGGTTTGTGGCAAAAAACTTACTTGAAACTTTAAAAGGTAAAATATCACCTAGAGAACAAGTCGGGAATAGGCAACATCTGGATTTCTACTCTTCAATGATCCCATAAAGATAAATCCACAGTATAATGTGTTAGTGCTTTTAATTTAGTGGTGTTCTCTCCTTGTCAGAGCAGAAATGTCAGCCCAGTGTCAGGCTGTAAGGCCCTATTGAGGTTCCGTGCTGATAACTCAAAAACAGAGCTTTTCTTCCAAGTAATCCTTACAGTACCTTTTACTATTAAACAGTGTTACAAGTGGCAGTTAAAAGAACTGAGATAAGATAACTTTACAGTATGGCACTGAAGTTCTGCTGTGATAGGGAGAGAATACAAGTAAGTAATAAAACATCAAGAACTCTGAGCTGTAAGGCTGCACTATTATAGCAGTTCTAGAGTGAAAATTCTGATTATTTACACCATAAGGCTTTAAGATACCTGTGCTCCTTTTAGAGGAAACGCATAATGTATTGATAGTGAGCATTTATTTTGATTATTATTATTTTATTTATATTTTTCTATTGATTTTTAGTTTTTATATTACTTATATTATGTCCCATTTTTACAAGGTTGCTCTTCCTTGTTTTGTTAATGTATTAAACACAGACATTAAAAGTATATAATCAAATCGAGGGATCTCTCTGGGGCTTAGTACAATTTCGATGTGTCTCTTTTAAATATTGAGATCGGATATAAGGCACACAGGGAGTGCATTGCTGATTCGTAGACTTGAATTTTGAGAAGGAGCAGTAAAGCAAAACCATTGTGTAGTGCTGCAAAGCAGGAAGCAGTACCTGAGACTGTAATTAGCCAATATGGTTGCATTTGCGATTACAAATTACATAGACGTGCCTTATCCTTTACCGGTTTATCTAAGATACATTGAAAATATTATGAATTCCCTTTGAGAACATTAGCAAGTCTTGATGTGGCACAAGCTGACAGAATTTTGCTTTTTTTTACATAGAGCTAAGAGAAGATGGTTTCCATCCTCCAAATTATCTCAAGCAAGGTGTGAAAGCGTTAATTACTGCACTGAAAAGCTGGATGAAAAAAGAAGTAAGTTTACTTTGGAATTACAGGTTCCTGAATGAAGAGTTTAAAATGTGTATAATAAATGTAAAGATTATGGATATATTTGATAGTGATAATACTAGGGATGCACCGATACCGATACTAGTATCGATATCGGTGCCGATTCCAAGTATTTGGGCAAGTACTCATACTCGCCCAAATGCTCCGATGCCTAGCACGAGTACTTCAGGTATCAGGAAGCCGGGCAGTGCGTCATTACACGCTGCCCGGTTTCGCGATTGACCGGGAAGCGGCTCCATGCTCTCTCGTCACTTGTGATGAGAGAGCATGGAGCCGACTTCCCGGCCAATCAGGAAGCCGGGCAGCGTGTAATGACGCGCTGCCTGTCTTCATGATTGGTCGGGAAGCTGGCCAATCAGGAAGCTGGCCTCGTGAGGTAAGGTTACCTTAGTATGTGCAGCCTGTCACCCCCCGGGGCCTCTCCAGCGAGAATGCGGCCTTCATTACACGCCACCTGGCTTCCTGAATGGGACTACCGTTACTCGGTAATTGGTATCGGCGAGTACCGAAAAAAAAATCGGTATCGGTGCATCCCTAGATAATACATATCACTCTATGCAGCTTACACGCATATTCGTTCAATAAAAGGCAATGCTTTGTGCATATACTGCAGCTGAGCAAATATCTATGGTCATTTGTACACTCCCTTTAAGGCTTAAATGATTTGTGCACCTCTGAAACCTACAAAAACCTTCCTGATGTGATAGATGGGCGCAGAACAATGCAAAAATTCCCCAGCACTCAGCCACGCTAGTCATCATGAATACCTTATTAAACCGTTTTAATTGCACATTCAATTTACATCAGATAAAACATTCCATGTGCATAAAACAAAAGGTATTCAAAGACTTAGTTGTTTTTTCTATAGAAAGTGGTCATAGCCAGAGTAGAAATGCATGCCCCCTGCCAGCATTCTACAGAGAAGGTCCCTCGCTTTCTGTTTGCAGAGGTCCGACATATTTCCCCCTGCTGTCCAATCAACAAAAATCATGCTCCCTGCCAATTAGAGAGCTCTGATATAGCATGTTGAGTGTGAGACCTCTGAAGAGAGACTACTGCTTCTACACAGCGAGCAAAGATTGGCCTGTTTACTTTGGTAGGTTGCTTTGTGAAGAAAAACAAACCGTGAGTCTGTAAACACCTTTGTTATGTACCTGTAATATATTTAGCTGATTTAAACTGGTAAGATCAACTTGAAGTAGAAGAGGGCTAATGGATGGGGTTTTTTTTTCCCCCCCCTCAGTCCGTAGCGGAACATGCTTTCGAAATTCCGGACAACATCCGACCTGGACATCTGATTAAAGAGCTGTCTAAAGTCATACGCTCTGTAGAGGTAAGAGCACAACAGAAATCTATCTATCATCTCAATCAAAGTCTGCGTGTGTTACAACAGTGCAATATTTTACCAATACCTGTTAAAGAAAAACTGATTCTGCAGTTTAGTTTTGTGCTTTTATTTTTTATACAATTCCCCTTTCTGTGTTTTTATTTGATCTTGAAATCTCAGCTGTTTAGAAATTTGACTTGAGAGGGCAGCGAGACTTGCTTCTTCATCTCTGTTTTTATATTGAGTTTCTGCCGTGGATTTAGGGTAAATCTGGACTGTTTATAACGCCGTCCCCGGTCTTGTCACCAGACACATGGCTTTGCGGTGTACCCTCATGATTACTGCAGAATATAGGGAAACATTCTGCATTATTCTCTTGTGCAAACACTTGAAAACTCTCTTTCTGTAAACTGACTTTCTGTAGCATGTTAAGACATTCAATAAATAAGTACAACTGTTACATAAGTTGTGTAGGACATCTAAAATATGATTGTGCAGGCCAGTAGGTACCAGAGTTAGATCCAGTGCTCTCAGTAATCAACACTTGGTAACAGACCTTGTCAGACATGCCCTCTGCCCTTCTCTGCAATACAAGTCTGTGTTAGAATACTTGTGCTAAGGAGTGTGGTTGTTACTCAGCTCTGCCAGCACCCAGCATTGCAGTAAAAGGGCAGGGAGCAGCAATTTGCACTGAGAGAGTGTTATATTAAGGCATTTCCAAGAAATAAATAATGTACAATTCTTGAGATGCAGGAATATGGGACTATGAAGTGATGGAGGTGCAAAACTTCAACCAGGCTTTAACAAATGACAGTTTGTACTCCGTCTGTAATGGAATGTAGGCGTGTCCCCAAGCAAAATGTTTCCTGTACAAGTTGCACATACCGGCTTATTTAAGATAAAGGTGTTCTGCAAAGACAATCTGCAAAGCATGGTAACAAAGCCAACCAGTTAGGTGGTCCAGGAGTATGTAGGTACAATAAACTCCCCATTATCCGGCATTTAAGCAACTGACACTCAAGCAACCGGCAAAGGAAATTGAGGACATTTTATCCTCGATTTATTTTTTTTGCCGGTTGCTTGATGAACATGAGCTAAAAAATAATTACAAATGACTATGAAGCAACCAGAAACTACAGTTACCTGGCATCTACCGATCCCTGTGGGTGCCGGATAACTGGGAATTTACTGTATATATGTGTGATATGGGTTGAATCCATGACGCTCGCTGTTTTTTAATGAGCCTAGCACTGCTTGCTTATTGGCTGCTTCGGTCTAGCTGACTGATTCAGATGTATCCCATTTCTGCTAGAAGAGCAAGCAGGTGTGTGTCTGTGTCTGTGTCCGTCCTCACTCATTCAGATCCATGTGTAATTTAATTGGCTACTTAGGTCTTTTCACAACATGGGCTGTTCAGTAAAATAATACATCGGCATTCAGCAAAGGCAATGCTTTGGTAAAAAAAACCCAAAAAAACATGTTTCCCTTTCCCTTTTTAAAATAGAACAAGAGATTGAGAACACAAAGTCCTCAATCTCTTTTTCTGTATTCCTGTTATCAATGAACAGGAATCCTCTGAGTGTTCCTGTTTATTGATAACTTGAGAATATAGTATGTTTACTATAACCACAATTATAAATGAACAGGAGGTGATATAGATCACTTCCCATTCATTCATAATTGAGGATATATTAACCATTCCATAGCCTCAATTATCTACAAACACTTAGTGATCGCTGAGTGTATGTAGCCTGCTCTCCTCTCTGACACGAGGTGCAGGGAGGACAGCCCAGCCTCCAGTGACAGCGCTGTCTCCGCCCCCACACCGCTCTGCTGCACTGGGATAGGCGGCCGAGCGGTGTGGGAGGAGAGACACCGGCCACTCACAGCGCTCTTGTCCTGCAGCGCTCGGCCGGCTGTCACTTTCTCTCCTCCACGCTGGGACACAGAGCAGCGCCCAGCGGGGAGGAAAGAAATCACGGATGCGCCGATGTATTGGCAGGAAAATGGCACTTTCGGCATTTAACCAAAAGTGCCATTTTCGACCGATATGTTTCGGCGGCCGATATATCGTATGTATGTATATTCTTAGCCCTGAATGTAAAAATATTTCACAGAAATATACATTTCCTTTAAGTAAACCTGACAATGTGAAATACAATGCCTAAGTGGATTTTGCTGTTCACGAAGGATGCCTAGTGCACAGTGGCTCCCCTTTCAATGGTCTCAGCCCGATACGGTAGAACAAAAACAATTTCATATTGACTGTTCTGCTTCCTGCATTGGTTTTTGTCAGGGGAGCTGTAAATTCAATTATCCAGTACATGGAGCATCTCAGAAATGCAAGTCCCCACAGATTACGAAATTGTCAGTTCAGCCCTACAGAGGGACAGATCTATAATGATTGTAAGACCTGCTGGGGTATTATAGACAAACACGCTTATGATTTTCAGTACAAGTAACAATGCAGTGTTTGTGCTGTACTGCGTTGTCTTTTGATTGGATGGGCATTGGGAGTGCTATGAAGATAGGCAATCAATAATGCAAAAAAAATATTTTCTGATAACAATAAACAGCCTTTTTATTTGTTTATACTATGTATGTCCCAGTGTTGGCTTTCCCATTTTTGTTGTGGTTTTCTTCTTCTTTTTTTTTTTTTTGGTGAGCAGCAAATTGGAATTATTACTGCTGGGTTTACCTTCATGTGAACCTGCAGCCAGGCTATGCACATTCAAGTATCGGCATAAGCAAGCAGTAAATTAACTTATGTACTTATTATAACATTTGTAGCTGCAGGCACTGTGGTGCACTTCCTAAAAATTGACAGCACGGGCACTGAAATCATCCAAAGTCAGTTGCTATGCTCACCCTGTTCCCCTCTTATGGCATTGATTCAGCAGCTCAACTCCCCTCCACACGGTGATTAAGCAGCTCAACTTGCCCTGCTCCCCTTCTCACAACAGTGACTGAACAACCCCCATAAATGTTTTTTTATTAAACTTAAATTTTTTTATCTTTTTTTTTTTTTAAATTTTTTTAAATTTATTTTTCTCTTTATTGCTATCACAAGGGTTCTGATAGTCTGCAAAAGAAATGTAAACAATCTCCCATCAGCTACAATTGCCAGGAGCCTGTTCACAGGTTGGTGCTGCTGTGGACATAGTCGGTGGCAGCGGATGCGTTAAAGCTTTTTTTATGGAGTAATTTTGACTTGTTAAAGCGCATATACATTTTAGAATGTCCATCACCACAGGATCATGATATTCCACTTTTGCCCTTCCATATTTTAGTTGTAATAAATAAGGAGATTTGTAGATCAACCAGTAGAGGGGAGCTCTGCACTTGATTTAGTCTCCTTCACACTTACTGCCTGACGGCCATTGCCGGCCACACAATGTTTTCAATGATTCGGCCGACTCACAGACTTGCATTGTGAGCAGGAGTAGTAAAGCACGTTATTGTATTAGCGTCACTTTATTTTGTGTTGCTGAATCAATCTTTTGCACAGTTTTGGCTTTTAAAATTACATTTAAAATAAAATACATTTGTTGAGTAACTTTTTTTTATAATTTTCAGGAGGAGGGGAGCAAGCCAGTCAAATCTCAGGGAATACACAGTCTGAGCCCGCTCTCCCGATCCCCGCAGGAGAAATCCTCCAGTCATTCCAGGCGGAAAGTGCGGCAGCTGCGCGACCATTCGAACAAAGCACCTTCAAACCTTGATATTCTGGAGCATCACACCAGGGAGGTGCTAAAGAGGCTGGAGATGTCTCCGTGGGAAGAGGTCAGTCTACTCCTCACAGCACTGTAACCTAAAGGACTAGTAGACCTACAAATCTAATTAGGTCTGGAGTGGTGCTGGATCTTATTGTTTAGATTCTCACAGCATTGGTGTAGTATGCGGGCTGCTCCTAAACCACAGGTACCTGCTACATAATAAGGGGCTTGATATATTGAAGTTAAACGCGTGTGTCCACGTTAGGGGGATTTACTCTCTCTATTCGACCACTGTACCAGCACTGAGTGAAAAGCAAAATTCTGAGCTGTCACCAGAACAGGAATAATTAATTAGTCATATATTTTCACATACACTTTAAATATTACAGACTCTAAACACTGGCTTGATTTTTGTCTATATCTGAAATTAACAAGGGGTCTCAAAGTGTACTAGCACTTCTAGACAGCATGTGTCTAAAGCCTCAAAGAAAGGGGACCTTGAAATCCCCCAAATAACTTTTTTGTTCTGAAAACAACATTAGAATTCATACTTGAATGTGTGAATTACTAAAGCATTACAAAAGCACATTATTTTATTCATATTTTTTATAAAGTTATTTTAAATATTTTTTCATAATTAAGACCGTTTTGCTTACAAGCTCAATCATGTGACCTAAAGCTTTGTCAAAGTTCACATTTTCTCTGGCTATCAGGGGCATTGTGGGTATTCATGTCAGTGGAGATTTAAGTCTTTTTTGTTTTCCTGTGAGGTACACTAGCTGGTAGACTTGAAAAATTGTGTTAGGCGCACTCTCAATGGTTTTGCGGCAGGGTCGTTTCATGACTGTATGGAGGGGCATGGCTTCAGGTTTAACATTAAAGCCCCCAGGATGGTGGTACCCTGTGTGTGGTAGACTTAAACCAGATAAAAGAATCAACAAGGCCACATATGCAGGAAGCAAAGGATGCATATGTAATCAGCCAATATGACTGACCTCATGCACATATATATTTATACATCAGAGAAAGGTGTTTAGCATAGTAATTGATACGATTTATTTACGTTTAGCTGATCATTTTTGGATGTTTACCTAAAATACTTCAAAATGAATGCAGATGTTCTTTACAGGGCCATTATTAAAGAACTCTTATGAAATCTTAACCCTTTCATTGGGGCTACTCCCGCACTCTTAAGGGTTAAATGCTCATTTTGTCCAGGGAGCTAAATAACAAAGATATGCTTACCCAAACCTCTGGCTGCTAAACTGGTTCCTTCAGCCTTGCTTACCCTTTCCCTCTGGTGGTCTAAGAACCTGTGAGTTGTTACATTCAGTACAGTGTATTGGAAGTGAGGATACTGAGGGACAGCAGTGGCAGTGAGCGAGGCAGTGACCTGGGAGCCCTCATATCTCTGATATAAACACAGAAGGAGCACAGGAAAGTTGGGAAGATCAAAGTGCTGAGACCTTACCAGTATTACTTCACTCGTCTGTTGTGAAAATTGAGAATGCATTACTCCACAGAACTTACAACCGCAGAAGCCAATGAGGGTTTGTTTTAAAGCATAGTTACTGCATGTTAATATCACCTGGTCAAAGTTCTGCTTTTTATTGCCGTTTTTTTGATCTGGTTTAAATTTCAGAAAACTGCTAAAAATAAGACTCATTTTACTGTAATCATTTGCCTTGTTAGGACTCGGAGAGTTACAAGTTGAACATGAAATTTAACAAGCCGCTGCAGCCATCTTCAACCGTCCCTGATCAGAAAATGAGGGATAATGGCATCCGGCTGCTACTTTCAAACGGAAGGATAATAAGGTAACTCGAAGGAAACCCCGCAATCTGATGGATTGTCATTTTGGTGTACAGCTTTAGCACTCCAGTCGCAGAACATGCCCCATTATTATTATTACAGTTTAACAGTTTGCGCAGAGTTTACAATATAAGGAAGACGTTACAATACAATTCAAGACCAGATGGTAAGGAGTGCCCTACACATGAGGGCTTACCATATAAAAGGGAGGGGCCAGTGATACATGAGGAGGTAGCTGTGTGGGGATGAATTGTTTGAGAACGTGATGGTTGAGGTGGGATAGGCTTCACTGAAGAGAGTCTTTAGGGATCTTTTGTAGGAGATGGACGGACAGGTTGGGGTAAAGCGTTCCAGAGGTTCGGAGAGACTCTAGAGAAGTCCTGAAGGCTAGCATGGGAGTAGTTGGCGAGGTAGCTGGAAAGCAGAAGGTTATGGTGATACTTTGAGACAAGGTTTGAGCTATATCCAGGGGCAGAGTTGTGGATGGCTTTGTAAGTGGTTAATATTTTGGTTAACATTACAAAGAAAGATGGCAAGTTGGATTCCCTGTTGGTGAACATGATGTACTTTAGTGAACCTGGCGGATTCTGTCTAATGTGCAGAATAGAGATGGATGGGGCTGGAATCTTGTCCTTGAGGCCTTGTTCACACCAAATGCAGAGCAGATCTGCATGAGTTTCTGCACACGCAGTGCAGTGGGTTTT